CCATCTGGGGGGACAAAAAAAAAGGGAATTCAGCCTTTGTGAAGAAAGCAGGGGCTGAAAAACAGAGCCATACAGTCTGAACCACATTTAGACAATAAAAAGGGAAATGTCCTTTCGGTGAACAATGGCTTGGTTAAGGTAGAAAGTGGAGACTACCTTGGGAAGAAGGGAAGGCCTGAGCCTCAATACCACCTTGTTTGTGTGCAAGACCAAAAACAGTTCCTTGCAGGATAAAGCTCAGGCACTCACCTGGTCGAGGTGATGGCTACAAGAAATACAACCTTGTGGGTCAGAGAAGAGCAAGAAATAAATCTGATAGGTTCAAATGGGACCTTCTGAAGTGTTTAAAGAAGGCGATTTTAAACCCATGGGGGTGCAAAAGGGGATTGGATCACATGAGAGACCTCTGCACAAAAGGTCTTAATCAAAGAGTAAGAAGCCAATGTTCTCTGAAACAGAATAGAAAGGGCAGAGATTTAGCCCTTAATAGTACAAAGAGGCAAGTGTTAGAACAGACTCTAAAAAAACAAAGGATTCGTAGGAAACTACAGTGTAAAAGCCCTCACATCAAGCAGAGTATGCCTTCCACATCTGATTGTATACTTTGCAGAAGCTGAACTGCCTAGAATTCAGCATTGTAAGATTTATAGACTTCAAGATCCCCCTGCCGCTAAGAACCTGGGCTTTAACCACCTTAATACCAATGCACGTATAAATACGGCCTCGTATTGAGGTGGATATATTAGGATCATGGTTGCAGCTACGACCGTGACCCTAGTACTATTCTTTTTAGCAGGTGTTTCCCTATCTATCTGGTAAATGTGATCCTAGTGGCTATACAGCTGCTCGATTACTTTTACAGGCGGTGGAAGGCTCTGACAAAGCTTATGGAAATGTATGTGAAAAGTCTTACCAGGTCAGCATACTGCATCCACCTGAGCCAATCCACATCAATGAGGATCACTCGAATACCCTCTATCCCCATCCTGTAGATAGGGCGAGGAAGAAATTTCAGGAGAGGAAAGGTACAGAGCAGGGTGTACTGATCCCACAGAGTCACTAGAGCATCTACTGCCTCCACCAGCGGATCCCTGGACTTTGATACAAACCTGTTTAGTTTGCTGTTGGACCTGAAGGGCCACACCCAGAGACCACTCCGAGTCTAGACATTGCTGGCTGAGGAAATCTGCCTGCCAAATGGTCTACACCAGTAATGTAAACAGCTGACAAAGCTGGAACCCAAATGGATACAAATCAGAAGGCCTGTCAACACGTTGATCTTATGCTTAAAAATCACCCGAAGCTCCAGGAGGATTCCTGTATCTACCAAGTCCCTTACATGGACAAAGTGCTTAGGACTAGAAGTGTCTCTCAACCCCCCCCCCCCCTTCCCCCTCCCCCCATGCACTTTATTCCCCAGTGGCAAGTAATAGCTCAATAAACTGACAACAGCCTTATCCTCAAAACATTCATCGGAGACTCTACCACTCAGATCTTGATGCTGTAATGCACAGGAGACAATGAAGAACACTTGTGTCCGAATGACCACTATTTTACAACTGTGGTCAAGTAGTGCAAACAGGAATAAGCAAATCAATTTGGGGTTTGCAATGGATCACTCAAATCTGGAATTATTTTCATTAGTGATAGATTGTGTGTGCCATCTATTAATTTAGCACACTGCAACAATTTGTGACTTCAGGTACTTTGGCATCTGCCCTGATACGCTGCATAGCCAAATGTTGATTCGTTGGTAGCTACACTGCTTCAGAAATATCCATCATAGCTTCTGTCACCCCTTTTTTGCCTTTGATCTTTCACATCATCAAAAAAGACTTCTTCACTGAATATTGCACTTCTGTAGAAATGTTTTGGGTTAACACTGAACTCCAGGCAAATGGCAACTGTACATTCACAGTTGCATTAAGAATGGAAGTGAACAATTTTCTAAATTAACAGTACCCTTCACTGTGAACACTTTATCTCAACTTGAGGGATGTCCATATACTTTTGATCATATAGTGTGGGTGTGATGGTAAAGTTTCCACAAACAATTGGCTATACAGCGTATCAGGACAGATGTAGATACAAATGCTGGTCCCATGTAAAATATATATATATATATATATATATATATATATATATATATATATATATATATATATATATATATATATATATGAGATTATTTGGATTAAAATTGTGTAGTTTTCCATATCTGCTTGGAGTTCAGCTTTTGTAGCACAAATGAAACTCTATTAAAACTAAAAATTCACTATTATATGTTTTTTCTATCCATTTCCAAGCACATGGATAGTGAGCGAAACAAAACCAGCTTGCTAGCGTTGAAGTTTTCTAATAAAATAGTCTGCATATTCATAAATATGATCCTCCATATCAAGCAACACTACTGGTCCTTTAACAGTGGCTTTTTTCAGCATGAGTCCTTGCAGTGTGTAAGTCGGTCTTCCTGGACTGCTGATCTTGCAATCGAAAGATGTACTTGTACTCATACCTTTCTTACAGTATAGTTCTTCCTGCTACAAGGCTTCTACGCAATGACTGCCATGGGTAAAGGAGGATGAGTGATCCAATGCAATTCACTCACCCCTGTTTTTTGTTTTCTTTTTTGTTAAACACATATTAACATATAAATTAATATATAAAAAGAAACTCAATGTGATCAAGACAGATGATACAAAAGTAGAGGCATTCAGTGGGTGGAATGGCCACTAGTTTCCTAAAAAATTGGTTTGATACACAGTCATTTGTATTGTGCTGGCTTGTTAGAACAATGATGGAAGATTAAATATAGCTGCGATGGAAAGAGAAGGAGCTTATAAAATGTCAGGTTAATGGTGAATGCTCTGAGGACGGTTGAGGGAACTGTCAGGATCATTAAAAGACACAGGAAGGAAAAGGGAGGAAAGAGAAGACAGAAAAAAAAAGAAAGTGGATTAGGAATAGCTATAGTAAGAAATAACAGTACAATGAGATTTTATAAAAAGAAAAAAACAGGAAACTTGCCCATCATTGGTTAAAGCCCAATTGAAGTTTAATTATTCAGTGTATAGTTTGAAGCGGTAATATGCCCCAAAACAAATATGCATTATACTGCAGTTTACCAATCCTTAAAAATGTGGTGGCTGCTTTAGTTTTCTTTTTGTAACTTTGTATTGGCTTGGTGATTAGCCAGTAACGCATTTCCCAAGTTAGGGTGGATCCACCCTAGATGGAAGAGCAAAACTGCAAAAATGCAAAACACCCTTGGATAGCAATGATGGCAATCTGGGGAGAACGTAGTGGAAGATGCATAAAACAAATTAGATTGACTAACAAATTAAGGCCAACTCCAGTTTATACTTAAGCATTTACAGGAATAGTTTTTTCTTTCTTTTTTTAAACTTTAAGGATAAAAGTTTTACACAAAAGAATAAAAGCGAAAAAAAAAAAAAAAAAACCCGGATTGTTGTATGCACCCCTGTCAGCGTTAAGTAGTGTCTCAGCCCTCAAACTGCCACTTATGCTGGACAACTTTGCTTTGATAACAAAAGGAAAATGAAAAATAACAGACTTATTCGCCAGATCAATAAAAATTAACATAAAAAAAAGAAAGAAAGAAAAACTAATGGAGCTGCCAAATTTAGGTGATGTGTGTAAGAAAAGTGTATTGTGCATTTTCACTTTATAAAGTGTTACTAAACCCAGGACCCTGCATTCACTATATCTGTTCTGCCACAGTACACAGAACATGGAAATGCAACTATTTTAGTAAATACCTTTTCTCATCAGCAGTATAGAGCAGTCTTGTGAAGTTTAACAGTGTCTGGCCAAGCACTGGTTAATGCTTGTAGGAATTTTCATTCTTCTCTGACTGTCCTGTGAGGCTGCATGACGCCTGACCCTCTGTCTGGACAGTGCTAACTGGCCCTGTGCCGATCACATGCACCATCTCTAGCAGTACATACCAAACCGAGCATGTGCAGTGTGCCTCCTAGGGCTCTGTTCCATCAGCAGATGGACGAAGGGGGAGGATCAGAGAAGACAGGATCAAACAGCCTTTTTACACAATGTGGAGGATTAGTTCCTTAAGTTCTACAGTGAGTATAAACCATGCTTTACTGCATACATAAACTGGTTTTACTATTGTGGATTTAGTATCACTTTAATCTCTGATGCCTCATGCTAATTGAGAGCGTTAAGGTCAGTTAGTGTTGAACTTGGTCGGACAGCTTTAGTTCTAAATGCGGTTTTCAAGCAGAATTTACATAACTATGTTGTAAAAAAAATAAAACTTCAATTGGACTTTTAAAGAAATGGATAAGAGAAATATGAAAACAGCCATTGCGAACCTCCTTCTGAAAATGAGTTGACTGAATACTAAATTAAGACAGTGTCCTAGAGCATATGATACTTGTAAGCACGATTGTAAAGTGTCTTTGTCAAACATTATTAGGGAGAATTAAAGAAATTCTTAAACTAGTCACATGCATATATAAAATTTAATATTACTGTACCGTAACTGCAAGTCAATTCTAAAATAAATAAATAAATAAAATTTTGTGCTTTTTCTGCTGCGACTCTGAAAGTCAACATTAGACTGCGTGTCAACATTTCAAAAACTTGGCCTCTGTGTAGTTCGTAGTTATATACATACACTGTACATGGGGCAGCCATATTTGCTCATCAAAAACAGATTCTGCTTCCTGCTTTTTAGGATTACACAAGGTTGGTGGGAGCATTGAATTGAAGATTTTAGGTTCAAAGTAGTTGTCTTTTAATAATACAAAAATGGACAAGCTAGTAAAAAAATGTTGAAAGTAATTTCAAAGCTTACTATGCTCCTGTTATACTAGAGTACCGAAATCATCTTTTATTACAAATCTCCCCAGAGATATCTGATTTAGTTTGTGGCTAGTTGTTGGGTGCTAGACGTTGCCCATGCGTTTTTACTAAGGAGCTGTACTATTCTTAGATGTACCCAAGAAACCCTCTCATACCTGGTCCTTCTCCTCTGGGAAGATTCTTCCTGTTCCCCATTGGCTGCTCTTTGTAGCGAGTGAGGTCTGCAGACCCGAAGGGACTTCACAAACTCCTCTTCTCTGGGAGATGGTCGGGCCCGTGTAGGGGAAGAACCAAGGCTACCAACACGATTAAGGGATGACGGTGACTGGCTGAAAGGCCAAGGGAGGCCTTCGTCGTGTTTCAGAACTACAATTGAAAGGAAAAACACACTTGCATGAGACAGAACTGACTTATTTCCCAGTACCCATAAAGACAACTCCTTTCTACCCATGGTATTAGGATGAAACAAAACTAAAACTAGTTTACGTTAATGTCGGGGCAAAAAAAACACATTTCCATACAGTGCTGTGCAATCGTATTGGCCTCCTTCCTGATTTTTTTTTTGCACATGTATGTCACACTTAAATGATTCAGATGACCTAACAAATTTTATTATCACACAAAGATAACCCACGTAAATACAAAATGCCGTTTTAAAATGACGATTTCATTTATTAAAAGGGAAAAAAAGCTGTCCAAAACATGTCTGGTCCTATGTGAAAAAGTAATTATCCCCAAAACCTAATAACTGGTTGTGCCAACCTTGGCGGCAACAACTGCAATCAAGCATTTGCGATAACTGCCAATGTGTCACAGCACTGTTTTCCCATGTTTATCCTGTTAAACACTGCAAGCTCACAAAAATACAGGTTGCTAGAAATCCATTGAGCTCTTAACTTCCTCTTTAGGCTAACAAAGCAGTTCCACTGCTGCAGTGAAATCCAGCTCTGCCCAGTTCTCCCCTGCTGGACTACATAACAACTCCCCCTTTCCTCTTCTCAAAAACCCCTCCCTGTTTACATTTCTACGCCTCCCACACAGGTTGTCTTTTCCTACTTTTCTGCTATCTGTGAAGTGGTCCCTGGAGAAAAGGAAATACAGGAGTTTCCATTTTTTTGCACAAGCAGGTAATCTATCTTAACCACTTGCCCTCCTGAGGATTTACCCCCGTTAATGACCAGGCCTCTTTTTGCTACTCGGCGCTGCACTAATTCAACTGATAATTGCTCGGTCATGCAATGCTGCACCCAAACAAAATTTACATCCTCTTTTCACACAAATAGAGCTTTCTTTCGGTGGTATTTGATCACCTGTGCGCTTTTTATTTTTCGCGCTAAAAACTAAAAAAAAAAGACTGAACATTTTGAAGAAAAACAATATTTTCTACTTTCGTTATAAATTTAGGCCAAAATGTATTTCTGCTACATGTTTTTGGTAAAAAAAGAAAAAAATACCAATAAGTGTATATTGATTGCTTTGTGTGAAAGTTATAGCGTCTACAAACTATGGTATTGATATTGAAATTTACGCCATTTTTTTTGCTATATAGCGCTGCACTAGTTTAACTGACAATTGCGTGGTTATGCAATACGGTACATAAATGAAATTTATGTCCTTTTTTTCCACACAAATAGAGCTTTATTTTGGTGGTATTTTATCACCTGTGCGCTTTTTATTTTTGAAGCTATAAACAAAAATTTTTGAGAAAAAAAAATGTTTTTGAAAAAAAAAAACAATATTTTCTAATTTCTGTCATAAAAAATATCCAAAAAAACTAAAATTTTGTCCTAACTTTAGGCCAAAATGTATTCTGCTACATGTTTTTTGGTTAAATAAATCCCAGTAAGTGTATATTTATTGCTTTGTGTGAAAGTTATAGCGTCTACAAACTATGGTATAGATAATGGAATTTACACAGCTTTTACTTTCTGACTGCTCATCACATTTCTTGAGGTGCTAAAATACCAAGACAGTACAAACACCCACAAATGACCCCTTTTCGGAAAGTAGACACCCTAAGCTATCTGCTGAGAGGCATATTGAGTCCATGGAAGGTTTATTTTTTTCCATAAATTTCTGGAAATTTTTTTTAACACAAAGTTGTAATTTAAATGATTTATTTCTCGCACAAGCAATGGGTATATGTGGAATTACACCCCAAAATACATTCTGCTACTTCTACCGAGTATGGAGATACCACATGTGTGAGACTTTTTGGGAGCCTAGCCACATACAGGAGCCTAAAATCCAATGACCATTTTGAAAGCCTCAAGGTGCGTAACTTCCTCATTTCACTTCCTCACTACCCATCACAGTTTCGGAAGCCCTGAAATGCCAGGATAGCACCAAACCCCCCCAAATTACCCCTTTTTGGAAAGTAGACACCTCAAGGAATTTAAAAAGAGGCATGGTGAGTATTTTGCAGATCTCATTTTTTCTCACAAGGTTTTGAAATAGAAAAAAAAAAAAAAAAAGAAAAAATATGTTTTTGTTTTTTTTCTTCAATTTTCAAAAACTTGTGGCAACAAACAAGATCTGCGAAATACTCACCATGCTTCTTATCAAATTCCTTGGGATGTCTAATTTCCAAAAAGTGGTCATTTGGGGGGGTTTTGGTGCTATCCTGGCATTGCAGGGCCTCCGAAACTGTGATAGGTAGTCAGGAAGTGTAATGAGGAAATTTATTTTTATTTATTTCAGGTACTTATATAGCGCTGTCCATTTATGCAGCGCTTTACACATATATATATATATTGTACATTCACGTCAGTCCCTAACCCTCAAGGGCTGTACAATCTAAGGTCCCTAACTCACATTCATACATACACATACTAGGGACAATTTAAACAGGAGCCAATTAACCTACCAGCATGTCTTTGGAGTGTGGGAGGAAACCAGAGTACCCAGAGGAAACCCACGCAGGCACAGGGAGAACATGCAAACTCCAGGCAGGTGACGCCATGGTTGGAAATAAAGCCCTTTAAATGCCTGAATGTGCTTATTGGATTTTGGGGTCCTGTACTTGGCTAGACTGCCAAAACGTCTCTCACATGTGGTACCCCCATACTCGGGAAAAGTAGCAGAATGTATTTTGGGGAGTAGTTCCACATATACCCATGGCATGTGTGAGCAATAAATCAGTTAAGTGACAATTTTGTGCAAAAAAAAAAATTTTTTTTTGTCATTTTCCAAAAATTTGTGGTAAAAAAAAATAAATTCTTCTATTGATTCAACATGCCTCTCAGCAAATAGTTTGGGGTGTCTACTTTTCAAAAAGGGGTCGTTTTGGGGGGGTGGGGGCATTTTATGCCCCAGCATTACAAGTTTATGCCACACATCACTCACTCTTCCAACCACCTGAAGACCAAGCCTTTTCTGACACTTTTTGTTCACATGAAAAAAAAAATCTGTATTTTTTGCTAGGAAATTAATTTAAACCCCAAACATTAAATATTTTTTTAACGCAAAACACCCTAGTGAATAAAATAGTGGGAGCTGCAATTTTTTATGTCACATAGTACTCGTTCACTCAGCTGTCAGTTTTTAAATGTAATTACCGATTTGTTTTTTTTCCCTTCACTATACAGTAGTTCAGAAATTCAGCAGTTACTTTCCCCCTCCAGCTGAAAGAGAGAACGTTTCTAAATAAACGTTTAGTTTATTTCCATAAGTTAAAAGATACAATGTTTACTTTCAGTTTCTTAAAAAGATACAATATATCCTTTCAGTTTCTTAAAATATACAAAGTATCTTTTAGCTCTGGGAAACTGACAGCTAATGTGAGCTATACTGAAGAAAAAAAAAGATGGCAATTGCATTTAAAAATCAGCACTGACGTACACCTAGTATTGTGAAAAATATTAGTAAAACATTTGTAAACCAACGCATTATTTTCAATGGATTTTCATTCGTAAACTGAAAACTACGTTAACAGAGGCATTCGGAAACCAAGGTATTACTGTATATGCTATGTTCTTTTTTTTTTTGTATGCAGCCTGTGGACTGAATGAAAAAAAAAAAAAGGGAAGAAATCTCTGCTAGAAAAAGTGTGTGGTATGCCCACCATTGGAATATACCACCCTGCATACACCCACTTCTAATGTGGGCACACATTAGGTCACACTTTGCCACAAGCGCCATTTCCAAGATTGTACAAATGTCTAAATAGTGGCACACTTGAATAAAAATTGTCCATGTATAAGTGGTACCCCATATGGAGAAGGATGACACCAAGTCCCAAACTATCTTGCCACTGCTCCCCATGTAGTCTGGGCATCTGGGGGGCTCGTAAATCCGAACACTACTTGTGCTCTCCACCGCACCAGCTTGTACTACACTTATGGGACTCACCAAGTCATACTGCAGTGCTGGTATTATTATTATTATTATACAGGATTTATATAGCACCAACAGTTTGCTCAGTGCTTTACAATATAACGGGAGACAATACAGCAACAATACAGTTCAATACAAGAGGGTTAGGAGGGCCTGACCCTTGGAGCTTACAATCTAAGAGGTATGTGAAAGACCAGGATGTACTAGACCATTGGTGTCGCCAGTTCACCAAAAGGTAGCGCGGCACTAGTACTGGCAATCTGCTGCATATAAGAGTCATCAAAATTTACCGACAAGTGCTAACAGAGATCAGGCCTGATTCTGCCAACACTGCGGTTTTGTGTGCAATGTATCAAGTGACAGTGACCTACTGACAAAGCACTGCTGCTGGGGGAGAAGGGGGGGGGGGGAAGCGTAGGGGCTAAACGCAGGTGCTGGCAGGTGCCAGGGCTGATCCCGCTAATGCTGCGTTTTTGGGGACGCTATACTAATGTGAACGCTGGTATAGTGCTGATCTGATCAAAGATATTGATCCGTTCAGACACTATCATGGGCAGACTGACAACTCATGGGGCCCCCGGGCAATAGGGGATCATGGGGCCCCTGTGTCCTCACCCACACCTAAAAAAGCCTATGAAAAACCCAATGAAAGGTACCAGGGGCATCTCATGGGGCCCCCTACTGACCCTGGGCCCTCGGGCAGTGCCCGAGTGCTCGAATGGTCAGTCCGCCCCTGGACACTATACTAACAATGGAGGTTTATTGTGTATGAGCATCTTCCTGGCAATCAAGGGGTTAAATGTGATGACTGGTGTACTGACGGGCAATCTGACGCCATCTGGGAGGGGCGTGAAAACCACGGGAGCGCCAATCACTTATATATATGTGATTTTGCGCACCTGTGCCGCCCTGTAGCAGTATTTCTGCTATAGGGCGGTCAGGAAGCGGTTACATAAGTGGTTTGTGTTACGCCGCTGCATTACTTTAACTGACAATTGCGCGGTCATGCAACGCTGCACCAAAATTAAATTTACATCTTTTTTTTACCCACAAATCCTTTGCTAAAAAAAAAAATCCCAATACGTGTAAATTAATTGGTTTCATGAGTTATAGCGTTTACAAATGGCGGGATAGATACTGGATTTTTTTTTTTTTTTATACTAATAATGATGGCGATCAGCGACTTATGGCGGCAATCAGCAACTTATGGAGGGACTGCGGCGGACATTCTGACACTGGGGGGGAACTGACTTGGGGTCACTGACATCCCCAGTGACACCAATACAGTGATCAATGCAAAAAAAAAAAAAACACTGACACTGTACCAATATCACTGGGGAGGAAAGGGTTAACTTTTTTAGGCAATCAAAGGGTTAACCGTGTGAGGGGAGTGTTTTACTAGTGGGCGAGGGTGTGTAGTTCACAGGAACACACTGATCCCGAGAGCTAAACTCCGCTCTCAGGAACAGTGTGTTGGCAGCTGTGCTCTGTGTCACTGTTTGCCGTCAATCGCCGGGACCCGGCGGGTAATGACTGGCCGGGACCCGGTGATTTGACACCCTCGGCCGCGAAAGGCCCCGAAATATCTCCTCCTTATACAAGGTGGCCGTGAAATCCTCCATGTCTCTAAGCTCGTTCACCTTTGAGAACCACAATGAAAGGGTAAGAGGGTGGCTGTCTTTCCACCATATAGGGATACAAGCCTTGGCTGCATTAAGCAGCTGAATAGCGAGAGAAGCTTTAGGTCATTGCTCTAAGGATCAGGAACTCTGCACCAAAATCTACCAGTGCCCATGTCCCTGTTTTAAATATATTGCACTGGCTACCAGTTTCCTGAAATATATTCAGCTCTCCATCACAGTATGTGCATATTTTCAGCTACAGTAAGTAACAGTGGCCTTCCTTTTCTTTAGCAGTCATAAAGCTGTACAGTTTGCCACAGCTTCCCTTACAACCCATCACAGTTTACTATTTCTTACACTCTCTGTCAGACAGCGAATATGGTTTGATCTCTCCCTCTGGTCGCTTGGGGGGCAACTTCTTCACTGGAGCTGTACAAAAGGAAAAAAAAAATATGATATAACACTGTTAGACTTTAACCAGCTTCATTCACTAAAGAAAGTTTGGATTTTTTAACCAATCCCTGGAACAAATACTAGGTTAGGCATTTTTCTGGACAAACATCTACATCCCCAACATGCTATGAGGTCCTAAACAAGGGGCACAGGAGTCAGTTTTCAGGAAAGTAAAAGGATTCTGTGTATGACTACCCTGGTTCGGAAGAAGGTGGAAGTTCACAATGGAACATTTGGCAGCCACCTTGATTAAATTATGAAGGATAAAATTCATTCTTGGTTGTACAATGCTTATACTAGTTTTTATTTTCTCTAGGTAAATGCATTATGTAAGGTAAAACAGTCACAACTCTAAGCAATTTATAGTAAACCACAGAGGAAGAGATGCATAATCAAAGGTTAACGTCAGTGAAAATCTCCCAGTCACAGAAAGGAATAATCTTCTCCGTTACACAAGAATTAATGCAGAGTCGCCATGCAGACATTTGAACTGTGGATTCCCTGGCTTAAAGTGCCCCTATGCCCACACTATGGACATTGAACTATTTACATATTATTCAAGATGCCATGGCTGTATGCTTGTGACTTCATATCCAAGTGGTTACAGGGACATTTGAGTGGCCCTGGACTTAAACTGTTTGCATCCAGGGTCGTGAAAGACCCTAAAAAAAATTCATAAAGCAATAAAAAAAAAGCCATCTGAATGATCAGCTTGGTACCAAACACCAAAAAAATAACCATACTAGTTACAATGTAACTGGAGGTAGAAAAGGTCAATACTTTTTAAAGCACTCTCTTTTTTTAACATACTCATACAGGAGGGTTATCGAGGGTAATGGAAGCATGGTATTTGGTAAAGAGGGAGGAACAGCTGAAGGAATAAGAGTTCAGGTGAATACAAACAATTTGGGTATTAGGGGGTCGGCATTTTGTCTTACTGTCTTGTTAGCAGGATGATCTTCCATCTCTGTGTGTAAAGTAACATCAGCTGCATAGATCGAAGAGTCAAAGAAAATGGGTCATTTACGCTAGAAGCGACCCATTCATTCAACATGAGCAAATGTATTAAATATTGCTAATAAGAACTGAGAAAGGTCTTTACTTACTGTTATTGGTAACAGGGAACTGTAGAGGCAATCACTGTTAGTTTTCAAGGTATGAGTGTCTGGAAGATGCAGGGGCTATAAGCCTTAAAAGCTTGCCCACTTCTTGGGAATATTTAGCAGCTGACAACGCACCCCATTTTGATTCATTGTATTAAAAGGTATTAAATATATCTCACAAACTACACAAATGACACTCAAAGAAGGTCTTATGCACATAGACTTTAACATGCTGAAAAATCTTCTAGCATAACATCCTTGGTGCTTTCCTGTGGTCAGTGATCCACACATGCTGCATACAGCTGCCAGTACAACTTAATGGCTGTCCTCATGTAAACGTTGATTGCTTCTGCTTCTTCATGGTTTACCCACCATGTGTATACAGCACATTATGCCAAATGCGACACTACTGCATTTGGGGAAAAAAAGTAGTAACGTGCATGCACTGTAAACTCCAATGCTGAAGCAATCACCATTTACACGAGTATGGTCACATACAGCCTTTCACTTGTATTGCTTGGTTTTACACAGAACCTGCAGCTCCTCAGGCGTGAGAAAACAACAGGGATTTTATACTAAAAGACTTTTCAGAATGTAAATGTCTGTATGCATGAGGCCTAAATATTTAAAAGGTGTAGTTGTCAAGTATAGCCAAGTATAAATGTAATACAATTTATTCTAGTAATGTAATAAATTGAAAAACATCATTAAATGCATTTTAATTACAACTGGCACAAGTAACTAAATGTATTTATGTAAGCCTTTTGAATTACTGGTCTTCATGCTAGCATACTAGCAGAGAGAGAGCATCTGTACTCTGCGCCTACCAGGCTCTTTTGTTATCCATAGTGCTGTACAACTACGGTATATGCCTAAGCTGGCCATAGATGGGTCAGTTTTTTTTTTTTTGTCCAACTAGCAGGCTGAATGAAAAAAAAAAAAAAAAAAAAAGAAACTTGACACGATGCCACCCATCCACATATTCGATGTGGATGGGAGAAGTACTCCCACTGTGTCATTGTATTCTAACAGCAGGAAGACTTTCATGAAGTCAGAATACAATGGTCGGCACTGATGGCTGATGGCTGGCAGCGCTGATTAAGATTGGTATTCATCCAATAGGCAGCATTTACAGAACTCGATCGGTAGATCCACTTCTGTCCAGCCAGGGTGCCCATACACGGATTGAAATTCAGTCAGTCAGTCTCTGTTGAACCGGTTGAATTTCGATCCATGTATGGCTGGCTTTACAGGAGAAAACAGCACGGAGTGGATTCTTCAGTGTGCTGCTGATGTTTCACTGTCCAAATCAGCAGGTTGGGGAAGTTCTTCAATCAAACCATATTGTTGAATTGCACTAGAGAAAAATAAGGTCAATGATCAAGTGTTGCATTGTGGCAGTCATGCTTGGATCACAACAGTGGCAGAAATTCCAACGGGGAAAGATTTAGACCAGGGGTCTCTAAACTATGGCCATCCAGCTGTTGAAGTACTAGTTGAAGCACAAGTCTCATCATGCTTCTGCCTCTAAAAGTCTTTGCCTGTCAGAGATTTGCAAGGCCTCATGGGACTTGCAGCTCCTCAACACCTGGAGGGCCATAGTTTGGAGACCCCTGAATTAGACAGACAATCTGAACTCTGACCCTTCCCTTCAGCACAGAAAAAAAAATTTGGCACAGAAAAGGGACCTGAAGCAGCATTTTCTCCCAGTTTTTAAACATCTGTATGTTTCAATTCATACCACAGCACGCTGACACAGGTATTCCATATAATTGTTGATCTCCTGTAGGATACTACAAATAACTAAAATTAGAAGGTATATAATACCTTTAAGTTCTGGCACTGGGGGCACACATATTTACCTTTCCGATCTCTGAAGAAGCCTTCAAAAATAACAAAATTATTAACCTGAGGGGGAAAAAAAAGAAAGTTAGAACGTATTTAATGCCATTTGTTTCACAGTAAACTCCAGTGATACTGTTATCAGCAATGTATCAAACACATACACACACATTCCTCTTTTATTTATTTTTTTTAAACAAAAAGGGAACATTTTCATTTGTATGGCCTTGTTCACAACGGGCACACTATATTGTATGCCGGTGCATGGCCATCTTGACTTGTACGGAGATCCATAGGTGTTCTATGCATCCCTGCATCCACTGGGACATAGCAGCTGCACAAACAAAGATGCTGTATCCTAATATGACATCCATGTGGGTGCAGATGCATTTCCCCGAGTTCATGAGGTCTACGTTCGGGGACCCACACCAGCACTCACACGGATGTCATATTGGGACATCCACAGCAATAGACATCAATGAGGCAGACTGCATGGGGATGCACGGAACATACAGGAACCTCCTCACAGGATTTGATCAACAATCTCTGAGCTGCTCTCAGGCACATTGCTTGATCGAGATCAGGCTCAGGTAGGTATTTAGGAGGGGGTTAAACATGAAAAGGTTTTTTACCTTAATGCAGGAAATGCATTAAAAAGATAAAAACTGTTGGCCTTTACAACCACTTTAAAGAGAGCCAATCATGACTGTGCGTCTGACCCTTGATTCAAGCTAAAGAGTCAGACACAAAATAGAAAAGAAAAAAAAAAAAGCAGTTCTGAAAATTATATGCCAAAAGTTCTGGTGTGAAAATGCCAATGATTTTTTGCAAACGTCAATTTTCAGAAGCTGAAAATGAATAGACCAAATTTTTCTTGTTGTCCAATCTGCTCCGTCCTACCATGCCTCACCTAGCAAGAAGCCATTTATATCATCCACTCACCTGTGGGATAGTGGAACGAAGATTGTAATGTTTCCTCAGGAATGAAAGAAACTTATCAGAAGGACGATCAATGGCCAAATGTTGAGGTTCTACCTGCTCTATCTAGAACAAGGAAACATTTATTAAAAAAACATCTGGACAAAAAAGGGACACCAACAGACATAAAAATGAACACAAACTCACAATGCAGCAATATTGGCAGACACCATCTAAAAAACACACCCAGCAGTGATAAAATCACCAACACAAATCCAAAGAACACAAAAAGAGTTAGCCCTTACTCGGAGCATGAAGCTAAAAACCTCTTTCCCAAAGCCATGGCGCTGAAGAGATTCATGGATATAGAAATCAAGAATGCACAGTGGTTCTGCTTCAATATGGGAGCCTTTGTGGTCCTAAAAATAAAGAAAAAGCAAGCTGGAACACATTAATAATGTTTTTAAAGGCAAAACCACTTTCATGCATTTTTATTAGGAAATATTGGGAGGGTCAGCAATTGGATACTGTAAAAGGATTCAGTAACTACTGCAGAGTGCTAAAGAAAGAAAAATCTCCCAAAGGCACAGGATATTTTTCTTTTCTCGGATCCTTCAAAAACAACCGTAATAATCATTTACGTTCCTTATACAAGCAAAACTAACAGGTTGTCTTTAAAGTGAAACTCAAGGAAAAAGTTATTTTATTTAATTTTTTTTTAACCTGTGCTGTGCACAAACAAGCTACCTCTAATGATGCTTATCCCAGGTTTGGATCACTGTACTTTCTGACATCAATGAAACTTTGATTTTCACAGAACATAGCTGCGATCCACAGTAAACCACAGGCACCATCCGAGGCAGCTTCTTTGTGCACAACATATTAAAAAGAAAAATATCCTTTTTTTCCCCCTATAGTTCATTTTTAGAGTCTCTTCTATTTACTCCCTGCCCCTGTGTTCGGATTCCACAAGAAAGGAAAGGAAGCAGTGTGCAAACTCAGGGTCACTATTTGGAGCTTTCTCTGTCCCCATGTGACAGTGCTGGCAAACCACCAAGTACTAATGCAGTCATATGAGAGTAAAAGAAGTGAGTCGCAAACTTCTTCCAAGTATTTTCTTCATTCTTGGTTAAATCTGAGCAGTGGGGGTTCATAGTACAGGCGAGTATGTGCTGCTGGAGAGAGAAGCATTAAAGAAAACCTCGCTTTCGCTTTGCCCTGCAAGGTTGACTTAAAGCCCCACTCCGGGCGGTTTCTACATTTACCTGTGCAGTGGGGTCCCCCATCCTCCAGCACTGGAAAGTAATTAGTTCAAACAGTTAAGTTATTCCTCATTCCCGAAGGCTTCCTCGTTACCATGCAACAGGTTCCCCTGAAGCCCCTTTACTATGTTGCATGGCCAGTCTTAGCTCTCTGACATCATCTCCTACAATACAGGACCAGCAGTCCTGCATTGTACAGGAGAAAGGGGAGAGAAGGGCCCGCCCCACCCAAATTTGAAGAAGTGTCAGAGGAAGGGAGCACTGGCTATTTGTACTTTTTGCCCCCCCCCCCCCCCCCCCCCCCCCTTCCCAACTAAATGAGAATTTTAAAAAAATCAGAAGCCAGGATTTGGCTTATAAGGGCTCATGCAAATTACACAGCACTGCAAAGCATGGATTTTAATGCATTAAGCTGCATTGTGTTAGACAGCCAAATTGAATGTTTATATCCAATATTTAATAACAAATCTCACCAGCACAAATAGCTTCTTATATCCCACCTTCAGAAAACCAATCACCACTCCTCGACCAGCTCTGCAACACAAGATTAAAAAAAAAATTTATACATTTTCTGAATTTGACCATTACGGTTTTTAAGGAATAAAAACATTATGAATTGTGCATGCATTGTAGAGATGTACTAAATGTGTTTTTGTTATTGTAATCCCCACACTGAAAGAGGTTGCAAAGGGCATTTGTCTTTTTTTAATCTAATTAAAAAGAGAAGTATGGATTTTTTTTTTTTTGCACAGTCTTAATCCTTATGAGCTCCTAGTACCTACAATCTTTTCCTGCCCTCTGAGAAGTGCATCATTTCTGTTAAAAAAAGATAGAAAAAAAAAAAAAAAGGAGTTAAATTACCTGTGGGAGGGGCTACAGACTTTTCTGGATTTTTATGCTGTCATTCAGTTTAGAATCCACCCCTTTCCACTCCTCTGTTTTGATGTCTGCTGGAAGCGCTCTGCTGGCTTAGGCCCTTTCACACGGCCATTTTTCATCTGTCCATTTACGGTTTATCAGTCCATGTATTTCTATAGACTAGCGGATGTAAACAGATGATCATGTTTACATCCGTCTTTTTGAACGGAAGAAAACACTATTTTTCTTCTGTAAAAAAAAATAAAAAACACAAACGGAACGGACGAAAAACGGATGTAAATGGAAGTAAAAAGGATCAATTTTTTCGTGGAAAAAACGTGACTGAACTGATGTAAAAACGGAACACCTGTGTGAAAGGGGGCTTATCCATCACTGAGCAGCAGCTCCTCTCCCTCTTCCCACCTCCCTTTTCCATTCCAGACAGACGGTCCTGAACACACAAGGTTGCAGTAGTAACAGCAGCACTTCTGTAAACAGAACTAAGGCTACACTAGCCTTGTTAGCAAGCGGCAGACGGGCGTTTGGGAAACGGTAAAAACGCTTCCCAAAGGCCTGGGAAAATTCTGCACATTGCAGCACATACTGCTGTTCAAACGGGAGAGTTAGCATTGCGTTATGGCAAAACGGATGCCTCTGGTCAAGTCAGGAGTTGAAGCATCCTATTCAAGTCTATGGTGCCGCACCGCAAACGCCCGGGCCGCGTTTGCAGAGCGGTTGCGGAGCGGTTGCGAGGCGTTTGCGGAGCGGTAACACCATTCAAACTTCATTATAGGCGTTTGTGGGGCGTTTTTAATGCTTGGCAAACACCTAGCAACCTCCGCTAAACCGCTATGCAAATGCCGGACCAAAGCTTGTCAAACACTATAGGGGCGTTTGGCAAGAGTTGGAAAATTAGTCAAATGTGAACGAGCCCTTACTGTGGTGTTGTTTATACATATGTGTTCTACATTCCTGTTAAAAATACAATGCACAATATACTTTAGCAAAGTAAAAATACACAGGTAACATTGTCTTATCAAACCGACCAGCATTGCCTGCATGTACAGTAAAAAAAAATATAATAAATACACTATCAGAGCATGGATAATGGGTAAAAGGCAGCACTAAAATGAAAGTGCAAAAATTCTAATTATTTATATGCACAAGAAAACAAAAAAAGTGTTAAAGTGCAAAGAAACCCATCAATAAAAACACAAAATGTCAGTAGCTCATAAAAACTAAAAATGTACAAAAATTTTATATGAATAGAGTGCTCAAAAAACAAAGTGCATAACCTATTAAGTGCAAACGAACAAGTGCCCATTCAGAAAGTTTGAAATTTCAAGTGTGCTTCTCCAAAAATGGATACTTTCAATAATGCTCCATCCACAATGATGAATAATTGGGAGTGCAAAAAGGTGTCTGCTCAAAATTCCAAAAAAACAGAAGTGCTCCATCCAAAATTTATATTTCAGTCGTGCTCCATCCACAATAATGACTGAGCCTTCTGTAATAGTGCCGTTGTATGTTGGGCACCTGCAAATGTGAGTGCCTCTTTTCTGTCATTTTTATTTAAGTTTTGAACCCACCTGGTGTGTGGAGGAGAAGTGGAGATGAGCCTTGCCTTAATTATTGTGCACTTTATAAATGCGCTGAAGTCCGGTCCATCTTTTCTGGTAAGTGATATCTGTCCAGAGGGGAGATCACAAGAGCACTGTGGTTTGTGGACTTCATTATTGTGAATGGGGCACAATTGAAATATCAGTTTTGGGTGGAGCACATCTGTTTTGGAATTTTGAGCAAACACTTAATTGCACTACAATTTATTCATCATTTTGTGGATGGAGCATTATTGAAAGTATCCATTTTGGGTGGAGAACACTTGAAATTTCAAACTTTCTGTATGGACACTTGTTCATTTGCACTTTATAGGTTATGCACGTTGTGTTTGAGCACTCTATTGATATTTAATTTTTGTACATTTTGTTTTTATGATTTTTCATGAGCTACCGATATTTTGTGTTCTATGAATTATTGATGGGTTGCTTTGCACTTATTTCTTGTAGCACATGTGGATTGCGTATAAATAATCTGAATTTTTGCACTTTTCTTTGTTAGCGCTGCCTTTACCCATTATAAATGTATTTATACATTTAGAGGTAGCTACTTGTAATTACAGTAAAGTGCTTTTCAGCAAGAGTGTTTTTTTATAATATCAAAAAATAATAAAATCAGAGTAAATATTGTGAATGGATCATTTTACTGACTATTCAGATTGCTATATGTGATCAAGGCAATGACACCTTCCATTCACATCTGCTTAGGCTGGTTTCACATTGCTGCACTGTTTGACCGCAGCATGGGTGTATCTGCGTTTTTTATGCGGTTAAGCTGCGGCTTCCCTTAGACTTTCTAGTAGGTCTGTGCGTTTGTGGCAGTTTTTTATCCAGCACGTTTTCAGAAAGTGCATCAAGGATGCAGCATGCAGAACATTTGGTGCGCTTTTAGAAAACTCACCAAAAATGTGCATTCTAATTGAAAACCAATGGGAACCACAGTCCAGGGAAAAAAAGAGTAAGCTATGCAGGGAAGGGCTTTGTGGCTGTTTTGTGGCATAGAGGTTCAGTTACTACTAAACTCCGCCTCACCCGCCGCTCACCTCTGACCCCTAAATTTGTGAACAGTGGAAGCATTCCCCACCCTGCAACTGCATGTATTCATGCTCCTCTATATGTGCAGCTGTGGGGTGACTTGGTCACTTATGTTTGGCTGTCTGCAGTGACAGCTTCATGACCAGATAGCTCTGTTGTGTTAAAATTTTTATATATATATATATTTTTTTTTTACCTCTATAATTTTTATTGTTTTACAGTGCAGGAGACTTTGGGGAAATATTTGGGGTTTTCACTTTACTTCAAGGAAGAGATTGAGAAAACTGAGCTGTCAGTTTCCCTCTTCCAATATATTGAACACAGGTATGTCCTATACATAGGACTGTGTTCATTCACAAAACAGAAACTCACAGCAAACGGGGGCTGATGCTTCCCCTTCTGAATGGCTCTGGCTTGCGCCGAGGAGTGTGCCCGGCTCTGGCTTGCCGCCAAGGAGTGTGCCCGGCTCTAGCTTGCCGCCGAGGAGTGTGCCCAGCTCTAGCTTGCCGCCGAGGAGTGTGCCCAGCTCTAGCTTGCCGCCGAGGAGTGTGCCCAGCTCTAGCTTGCCGCCGAGGAGTGTGCCCAGCTCTAGCTTGCCGCCGAGGAGTGTGTCCAGCTCTAGCTTGCCGCCGAGGAGTGTGTCCAGCTCTAGCTTGCCGCCGAGGAGTGTGCCCAGCTCTAGCTTGCCGCCGAGGAGTGTGCCCAGCTCTAGCTTGCCGCCGAGGAGTGTGCCCAGCTCTAGCTTGCCGCCGAGGAGTGTGCCCAGCTCTAGCTTGCCGCCGAGGAGTGTGCCCAGCTCTAGCTTGCCGCCGAGGAGTGTGCCCAGCTCTAGCTTGCCGCCGAGGAGTGTGCCCAGCTCTAGCTTGCCGCCGAGGAGTGTGCCCAGCTCTAGCTTGCCGCCGAGGAGTGTGCCCAGCTCTAGCTTGCCGCTGAGGAGTGTGCCCAGCTCTAGCTTGCTGCTGAGGAGTGTGCCCAGCTCTAGCTTGCTGCTGAGGAGTGTGCCCGTTTGATAAGCGTGGCCACATAATTGAGGAAAGAAGAAACTGAAATTGGGGGTGGATTGCTGGACTTTCTATACACCCCCTCTTTCAAACAGAAAGAGGATCGGTTACTTGGTGTTTTCTGACAATTTAACTACGTGTATAGCACAGACTAAGGGACTGAGGAAAGGAAGAAAGGTAATGGAAGCATTAGGATAATATGCACTATTTATTTTTGCTTTTCCGTACTTCTCCTTTAACTATGCAACTATGGATACCTGATAACAGTCATTAAACAGCAGCAGTAGGCCATAATGACATCCCAAATATCAAATAAAGGCATGCAGAAATTTAAATTTTAAAAAGGGTTATTCCATCTACAACTACTAAGCAAAATCACCATTATATATGTAAACCATGTGGTTCAAGTAACCCTTTTATGTACCATTTCTTACGTTTTAGCTGTGCAGTCCTTCAGAATATACAACTGATGCTGATTTGTCTGCATACGGGAGGCGCTAGTTATTGGGGCAGGCAGTCGCTGGGCCTGAAACATGGAGAGTGTAAATATAGTGAATATTCTGTTACAAAAACAAACTTCAAATATATTAATATAATACAGAATTTATATGGCATCAACAGTTTGTGTACAACTTCATAATATAAAAAAGGAGACAGCACCATTACAATACAATTCAAGACAAGTGAGTCAAGGGGACCCTTGGTTCCATGGGTGAGCAGACACCAGTGGAAGGGTTGGCAGAGAGGATTGGTGTACATTGAGCTGTTAGTAAGGTGGTGCATCTGGCAGCAACATCCATGACAGACAGAAGACGGGATATCCTGTGTAGAGGTAGGCCAAAGAGTAAAGGGGTGCAGTAGCCGAGGCAAGCAATTTGGTGCTGTTGTCGTTTAAGTGCCAGTTCACACTACATGCATTTCAGTTGCTTTTTTTCTGCATCCAAAACACACAGAAAGTAGGTTATATGGTTGTCAATGTCCAAGTTCACATCAGTGCTTGCGTATCTAGTGCGTTCTAGTTGCAGTTTAAAGTGAAGAAAAGAGGGTGAAAAATTTAACCGGAAAGCATAGAAAACACACCAGAAGACATCAAAAAACGTGCATGCAAAAACACATTCGCAATGCATCTGGACTGCATTTGTATAGTGTGAACCAACCTTAAGAGGCAGCATATTCTGGAAATGTTAGGGAGGGATTGACAGTTGCTCTTTTGGTCTGAATAGAAAAGTCAGTAAAGAGTCCATAGGGTGGGAGGAAATATCATGAGCTCAGTTTTTGAAAGCTTGAGTTTTTGTAAGTGGTGTGACATCCGTACAGATGCTGTAGGTCAGTTAGTAATTTAGTGATGAGAGTGAGTGAGTGGGGTGAGTGGAGGAGTCGAGAGATACAAAAACCTAAAAAATATGGTTTGCCTGTGGAGTTGGAAAAGGCCAATGCAAAGCAAATATAAGTCAGAACAGCAATACAGTATTTGCTCTAACATATGAATAATATTACCTTTGCGGATGCTTTTCCAATTTCATCTATGACTGCCATGATTTGTCTTTGAGCTTCAGAACTGAAAACAAAAGAAAAAAAACATTAAATGACCCCGAACAAGCATTGATCATAAAGTTGCATGGTGAAAGCTGGACCTGTCTGTGTCAGGGCTTAGTGGATTTTTATTTATGTGGAGTTACAGTTGTGGTGTCTACCTTAAAGTGACCCTGTTGGCAGAAAAAAAAGGATTTGAAAAAATTCACTCTGTAAAGAAGCTGATAACATACTTGTCCGGAGGCTCTCCCGCCAGCTGCTACGTCACTACTCTGTCCTGCAGTGATGTAGCAGTTAGCAGTAAGAAGTGTAGGGCTCAGTGGGGGAAATGCTATCCGACACACCTGGAAATGTTACATTACAGTGTAATCTGTAGCGTTGGAAAAGAAAACATTTGACTTGTAACCAATAGAAAGGAAAGTATTCATTTTGTTCTTTTACTGTGTGCTTTGGGTGAAAATTTTTAAATGTAGCAACAACTTTTATCTTGAGCTGCTTTAAAGTGTATTTCCATTTTGAAGTCAAGTTTGAGAAAACACTACCATTTGCTTGCTATAATGTTCCCATTCATACAGTATACCTACAAATTTTTAAAATATATACTGTATATACATTTACCTTTTAGTTGTTTTTGAGAAGGCCTCGTGGCTGATTGCAAACATTTCTGAACAATCTCACAGTGTCTATGTCCCCACACAGACTGGGGACACAATAGCATATAAGACTTCTAAGATTTTTAAAGTGTTACTAAACCCACAACACTAAAATCAATCTGTAGATGCAGTAAAGCATCCTTGTTATACTCATTATGGAACCTAAGGGGTTAATCATCCAGAGTGTGTAATCTTGTCTTCTCTGATCCTCCCCTTTTTTTACTGTCCCCAATCCATCTGCTGATTGTACAGTGCAGCAGTGGCAAGTCTGCACATGCTCCATTTTGTCTGTATTGCTAGAGAACATTTCCTCTATGATCTGAACTATTAAGGGCACAGGACTTAATCACACATTAAGGTGTGTATCCCAAATGATAGCCCAGCCCCCTCTCTCCTCCCTCCATACCCAGTAACTCAAAAAGTAAACAGTGGGTGGGAGTTCACATCTTGAGTGATAGAGGCAACGCCTCCCATAACAGCATGTGGACACAGGCTTTAGTGGAGGGTTCATGTGATCGATCGACACAAAGACTATCAGCGCTGTTCAGACAGAGGGCCATGCAGCCTCTGCTTGGAAGACTTCAGAGAAGAATGAAAAACTCCTCCTTGAAGCTGAACTGGCACTTGGCTGGACACAGAAACCAGTCACATGAATGCTGTATACCACTGCTGAGAAAAAGCATTTAGCAGTTTCACTTTACGAAAATAAATACATTACCATGTTTTATGTACTCTGGGAGCCCTTATATTGTTAATGCAGTGTCATGAGTTTAGTATCGCTTTACCCTTTGTTAGGACAAACTGTGGTCAAATCTAGTTTACAACTGATAAGGAGATCTGCCAACCCACTACAGAAAGGGTTATTTATGGTACACAATAACCCCCTTACATTCCACAGAAACATTAATTCAATAAGTAAAATGTTAAGTAGCAAATTTTAAATATTTTTTTAAAATTATGCTATGTGAATAAGACCATGTAACAAAGTAAATTCTATTCCAAAATTAGCAATACACTTTAAAAAGGAGAACTGTACCTTTAAAAAAAAATCCATATCCACCCTTCCAGTTCTGCTGAACTAATCTACCCTAAAACTCACCATACCAGCTACTTAAATCCCTAAGTCTGATGTTTACAGCTTCTACAGGAAAAAATCCTCTTTAGAGCTGGTCATGTTTGTGCTGTGAGTCCTCATAGTCTTGTATAGGGCTCCTGAGAAAAGAGATGCTCAGCAGATGGCCTTATGCAACTCTGTGTAAGAGGATTTAACTGGGGAGGCAAGGCTCAGCTGCGATGCATGTGGGTGTCTGGACTGTAGCTAAGAATTCCCTCTCCTCCATGGAATGAATTAACTGTACCCCTAGGCTCCATGGAAGGTTTCTATCCTCATTGAGCTCACCTTATGACATGTATTTTTTTTGACAGGTGTACCTCCCCCTCTGAAGACAATAAGCTCAGTTTACAAAGCTTTAAAGAGACACTGTCACTTTCCCCATTTATTCACTCCACCCCAAAGCAATGTATACTCATCGATCTGCATCCCTCACTGTTGCTTTAGAAGGGAAAGCATCTGGGTATGGAGCACCTGAGCATGTGACCTGGCCAATTTGAAAGGTCTGAGTGCCCCTTGTGATTTGGTGAGTATACCTTGCTGGTGGGGAAGCCATCAGTAGGCATGGCTAGGTTAAAGTATTTAAAGGATAAGTTCACCCTTGGGAATATGTTACATGTTCCACCCATTTTTAGGGTGGAACATGTAACATGTTCCTAATGCTGCAGCTGCTGTCTGATCGCCGCCGTCGCCACCCCCCCACCCCCCCTTCTTATACAAGCTGTCAGTTTTTGAAATCAGCATGGCTGTGCGGGGCTCCGCCCACACGGCCGCATCACTCATTCACAGAGTTCTGTGAATGAATGAACTACAAGTCCAAACAGACTCAGTGGCTGTCAGCTTGTAGTTCTCAATGAACTGCCAAGGCGCTGTGAAGTGCCGTTGTAGTACTTTGATTCTTCCTGTCAGTATATCTGCTTGCCCGTACATCCTGTACAGTACAGTCAAGCAGATCTAGTGACAAGTCAGCAGGAGATCTGCATGCAACCAGCAGATCGCTGATGCAATGCTTTACAAGTTCCCGTAACCAAAAAAATAATAAAATGCACATTTAATTTTTACCTCCAAAAAAAAAAAAAAAAAAAAAGTGCACGTATTATTTTTTGCAATAGGTAAACTTATCTTTTAAGTGGACCTGAACACAAAAAAAATCTAAAAAGGGAACTTCTACAAATGTAAATTGTGCCTAAGGAATATCCTGCACAGAATAACACAGGCCAACACACATTTTGGGGCCTCAAATGTTAGACCTGCTCCAGGGTATATTTGCATAAATCTCATATACCTATCTTCACTCTGGTCAACCATCAAAATTCAGGATATTTTCACATAGTGTTTTATATATACTAATTGTAGCATAAAAGAAACACATATAAAAGTAGCCGTAACCTTGAATGGGCCTGTGAGATGGATTCTATAGGCCACCTGGAAAACCTGGTCTCCAGGGAAAATGACAAATCAGAATCTTACCGACTCACTTGGACCGTATGATCCTATTTCAAATGCTCATCGGAGTTCGCTACATATTTTGACTGTGAGCCTCTTTTATGCAGACCCTCTCATGGGTCGGGTCTCCACTGCCTTCATGGCATCATTATATACAGACACACCTCAAAAAAAGTTAAAGGAACACCTTTTTAGAGTATAGCATCAAGTCAATTAAACTCCTGGGATATTGATCTAGTCAGTCAAGTAGCAGAGTGGGTTGTTAATTTCATTAAAAAAAAAAAGCAGCTGAAACTGATTAACCACAGGTGCAGTAGATTGGCAACCATGAGAGGACCCCCAAAACAGGAATGGTTTTACAGGTGGAGGCCACTGACATTTTCTTCCCTACTCATCTTTTCTGACAGTTTTTCACTAGTTTTGCATTTGGCTAGGGTCAGTGTCACTACTGGTAGCATGAGGGGATACCTGGACCCTACAGAGGTTGCACTGGCAGTAATACTCCCCCAGGATGGCACATCAATACGTGCCATTGACAGAAGGTTTACTGCATCTCCCAGCATAGTCTCAAGAGCATGGAGAAGATTCCAGGAGACAGGCAGTTACTCTAGGAGAGTTGGACAGGACCGTAGAAGGTCCTTAACCCATCAGCAGGACCAGAATCTGCTCCTTTGTGCAAGAAGGAAAAGTATGAGCACTGCCAGAGCCCAACAAAATGACATTCAGCAGACCACTGGTGTGCATGTCTGAAAGAGTGCAGGGTTTAGGGGTACGTTTTGCAAAGCTTGCAACCCCAACCACCCCAAAGCATCTCTCTCCTACCTGGCCTGGCTCTAGTACCTCTCTGTGTAGGCGGCTCTACTATCCGTGTATTCAGCTCTAGTATTTCCCTGTGTATGCCGCTCTGCCTCGCCTTGCAGGTAGATCATTCTCTCAGAAACTGGAGATCTGTCCCCACCGTGAGGGCGTGCAGGGATCTGTTAGATCTGGGAGCCAATGAAAGCAAACCTGTCTCTTGTAAACAAAGAAGGATTCTGCATTTACAAGTGATTGCTAGAATCAGAAGCAGAGGGTGAAAGCTGGAGGTGATGGAATGGAGTTCTGCTACGTTCCAGCTGCAAAACAGGGTGCAAGGGCCACACAAAAAGGCCTGGTGGGCCAGATTTGGCCCGTGGGCCTTGTGTTTGACAGTTGCGTTTTAGAAGGATCCAACAGGTATGGTATATGTATAGTTACACTGGCTCAAGCTGGACAAATACAACTGTAAAAATGTCATACCTGGAATTCCTCTTTAACATAGTTACATTTATAGTTCCTTCAACTAGAACACTGAATAAAGCAGTTTAACAATAATCAAAAATGAAAGGTCCTAGAAGAATTTCTGAAGCCTAGAACTGAGGTTTCTCAGACAATGCACACTAAACAGACAAGAGCATCCAACTAGCTTTCATCCAGTCTATCAAATCAATGTTCTCCATCTTCAGATGTGAGATCAGCCAGAATAATCCACACTAAATAATGACTTTTATTCACGGCTCTCAGACTTCCACCCTGAAGCTTAATTGAATAGCTCTCGATATAATAATCTGAGCTTTGTCCATTGTATAGACTGGGCACACACTCAGGAGCAGACAGCATTTTAAAGGCCCCGAAAACAAAGAGGAAAACAAGAGTGGGTGTACACTCAGCATTCATTTTACACTCAGCATTCATTTTTGCCCCTTTTGCTGCCAGAGTCATATTTTCATTTTTGCATACACGTTAAAACACACATTTTAGGCCTTGCTTAACAACCCCCCAAATTTATATATTATG